AATGTCACCTGCTGGGAACAAACAGCCAGGCTGCATTCCTTGTACTACCTAAAGATCCCACACCCTGTGAACGTTTCTGGAGAAACCTTCTCTTCCCTCCCAGGGAGCCCTTTGCCTTCATACTCCTAAGTCCTCCCTGCCCCCATACCTGCTCAGCCCAGGAGGCCAGGCCAGTGCTGGGAACTCTCACCTGGAGGTGAGAGAAAAGGGACACTGCTCCTCCTTCAGGAGTCTGGGGCTTCCTGGCAGCCACCAGGTGTCATCAGCAGCTTGGCAGGTGGGTGCATTTCCTGTCCCAGCCACAGCAGAGACTCAGGCTGTTTCCTTCACCCTAGAATGGAGCCATTGGTTACCATGTGCAAGTTTGTAAGAATGAAAGGATAAATTTAAAAAAAAGATGAAAATTACTGTAGCAATCATTGAGTCTGCCCCCCCCCCCATAGTCTCATTCTGCCTCTCTGGACGCATAGTGGAATCATACTTCCCTGCCCTCTGAATCCATGTTGGAAGCCAAGGAAAAGGAAGTGGGAGTGACACAGGTCGCTTCCCAGTGGCGAGCTCACCAGCCAATTTGCAATTTGCCACATTTTCCGTCTTCCTGCCACTACTCTGTCTGGTTCCAGATGGCCCCATTCCATCCACTAGGGTCCCTGAGTGAGGAGGACATGGAGGACAGCCCCTAGCCACCCCAAGAAGGACATGTAGAATGGATACAAATAAACCTTTGTTTTGTTTTTGTTTTTTTTTTTTTGTTTTTTTTTTTTTTTTTTTTTTTTTTTTTTTTTTTTTGAGACGGAGTTTCGCTCTTGTTACCCAGGCTGGAGTGCAATGGCGTGATCTCGGCTCACCGCAACCTCCGCCTCCTGGGTTCAGGCAATTCTCCTGCCTCAGCCTCCTGAGTAGCTGGGATTACAGGCACACGCCACCATGCCCAGCTAATTTTTTGTATTTTTAGTAGAGACAGGGTTTCACCATGTTGACCAGGATGGTCTCGATCTCTTGACCTCGTGATCCACCCGCCTCTGCCTCCCAAAGTGCTGGGATTACAGGCTTGAGCCACCGCGCCCGGCCTGTTTTTGTTTTTTGAGACAGAGTTTTGCTTCTGTCACCCAGGCTGGAGGGCAGTGACGCAGTCTCAGCTCATTGCAACCTCGACCTCCTGGGTTCAAACAATTCTCCTGCCTCAGCCTCCTGAGTAGCTGGGATTACAGGCGCCTGCCACTATGCCCAGCTAATTTTTGCATTTTTAGTAGACGTGAAGTTTTGCCATATTGACCAGGCTGGTCTCGAACTCCTGACCTCAGTTGATCCACCCGCCTCGGCCTCCCAAAGTGCTAGGATTACAGGTGTGAGCCATTGTGCCTGGCCAATCTTTGTGGTTTTAAGCACTGAGATTTTGGCATCATTTGTTACCACAGCATAACCTAACTTGCCCAGACTGGCTAAACTTTTTTTTTTTTAAGAGAGTCTCACTTTGTTGCCCAGGCTGCTCTCAAGCTCCTGGGCTCAAGGGATCCACCTGCCTTGTCCTCCCAAAGTTCTGGGATTACAGGCGTGAGCCACCATGCCTGCCCATAAGCTTTTTATAAAAGGATGAACCTACTCAAGATTATAGAAACTTAACAGAAGGAAGGAAGGCGTGCAGGCTGTTGGGATCATTTTGGGATTCTTCCTCTTTCCTCGTTCACTGACAGGACAGCTTCAATGTCTGGACGCTGCATAGAACACTTTCCTTTCCACTCTTTTGGGAGTCTACCTACTTATTTTCAGGTCATCTCTGCAGGCCTCCATCCTGCCTGTAGCCTGATGGAGATCTGGATTCCCATTCCATTGGGTAAACATTATATGACTTGCAGTTTTCATAAGCCACATGGCGGAATGAGCTCCAGGAAAGCTGGTCAGAAAATGCCGTAGGCAACATAAAGAAGATGAAATTCTTGGCAAGGTGCCCATCGAAACTTTTTCTCCTGTGATGCATTGAGAATAAAGGCAGGGCAGACCTATCCATCAGGCACAGCCGGTGCAGAGCCCAGAGCTCATGGTATTTTTGGCGGCCCATGAAAATGCTTTGATTTCTTTGTTTAAACTAGAAGACAATATTTTAATATATAATGTTAATACAGACATACTGTAGGGGAGAAAGATTTCTCACCCATCACAAGGTTCATGGCTAAGGCACCTATAATAAAAGACAAATTAACAAGAGAAAAGTACACAGATTTATTTAGTATACATTTTATGTGGGCTGGGTGCAGTGGCTCATGCCTGCAATCCCAGCACTTTGGGGGGCCAAGGCAGGAGGATCACTTGAGCCCAGGAGTTCAAGACTAACCAGGTAAAACAGCCAGACCTCATCTCTACTAAAAATTTTAAAAATTGGCCAGGTGCAATGGTGCACACCTGTAGCCCCAGCTACTTTGGAGGGTAGGCCGGGCATGGTGGTTCACACCTGTAATCCCAGCACTTGGGGAGGCTGAGGCAGGCAGATGACTTGAGGTCAGGAGTTCGAGACCAGCCTGGCCAGCATGAAGAACCCCATCTCTGCTAAAAATACAAAATTAGCCAAGCATGGTGATGCATGCCTGTAAACCCAGCTACTTGGGAGACTGAGGCAGGAGAAACCTGGGAGGCGGAGGTTGCAGTGAGGCAGTGCACTCCAGCCTAGGCAACAAGAGCAAAACTCTGTCTCAAAAAAAAACAAAAACAAAAACAAAACTGGGAAAACTGTATTTTCTAGACAGCCATGCAGAAGTATGATTGGAGGATAAAAAAGTATGATCTAATGACATTAAACTGGAAAGTACTGAGCAAGGCCTGTTTAGATTCTTTTTTATGTTCCTGTGTCTTCAGAGAAAAGGACATTCCTTTCCTTGGGTGTAGGAAGCACATCTCTGGAATGAAGTTTTTCTTCGGTGGAAGGTCAAATCGTTCTCTTAAGACCCTCTTCAGGGGAGAAGAGTGAGGAGAAGGTGAGGGTGACCGTCCTGTTTCTGCTATTTTCTCAAAGGCCAACGTGCTGTATTTGTGGATAGTATGTCTTGAACTCAGTCAGTATCAACTTAGTAACAAAATATAATTTTTAGTGCTTTTTATAGAAGAAAGGGACCATGAAGGCAAAAATGGGGACCCACAAAAGTCATACTCTGGCCCTGGAGAAAGAGTTTAAGAGTTTCATAACCAATACACATATGGGTTACAATGTGCTTCTTGGAACTGAGTATAGACATGGCATTGCTGTGATCTAGAATGTCTTCTCTTTTGTGAGTGTGTCAAAATTTCCCATGACAATCTAGCTCTATGTTTGCTTTTCTAAGGTTAACTCAGGACACCAAAAGGCCATAACTGGTGGCGGAAGAGTCCTGGATCAAAACAACATGCATGGATATAGCAGATTGTGAGACCGCATAGGGATAGGATTCTGCCCTCACTGGGATGGGGCCCCTACTCCATGTCTGCCAATTAGCAGACTTTGCACCACAGTCTAGCGCCATCCCTGCTGACCTTCCCACCTTGAAGAAACTAAGATAAGCAGCATCCACCCTAAATCTTACTCAAGGGAATTAATTCTACCACCTGCATGCACACAAGACCAGAAGAATGATCTTTGCCCCTTGTCTCATCATAATACCAAAATCCCTGCCCAGGGGAGGGCTTACCTGCTATTTTCTGCTCATGCAACAGAATGTTTATGTGTTAGCACAATTCCTTACCATGCCTGCACACCCTGCACTCCATCCCACACAGGTAGTAAGCTCACCTACCTCATGAATTATGCATGTCACCCTCCTCACAACCAAAATGCACTCCCCTCAGTGGGGCCAGTCAAGAACTCTTGCTCCTGGGCTAGTTCCCTTGTGTCGGAACACAAGCCCCCATAAAGCCTTGTCTGGGAAACTTGTTTGGCCTTGTGTCAATTGCTATTGCATGGGCGCCTAAGAACCCGTGGTCAGTAGCAATTCCTCTAGCTTGCTTCCCATGCTTGCATTTTTCCTTGCTTCTTCCCAGCAGCCTCTGACTTCTGAGAGGAGTCCAGCAGTTTCCAGGGAAGCCAGTTCCATATCTGTCTCCAGGGGTGGAGCACAGCCCTGTGTTCAGCGCATCAGCCCTGCCCACGGTGATCTTCTGTGGGTGGTCACCACTCCAGTCCAGCTACAGTGAGTCTTGGAACCACCGCTAGGAATTCTGGGTGCGAGCATCCTTTCCTAGATGGCAGGCTGTGCAAAGGGGAGTCCGTGTTCCTACCCAATTTGCTACTATGATCAAAGTCAAAGGAAATCTCAGAGGAACTGAACCAGAGCCGTGATCAAACCACACTTGAGTGCTATCATGAGATCTTTTGTGTTACATAAGCCTGTAATTTCCCTTTTCCTGTTAAGCCCATTTGGATTGGATTTTCTGTTAGTTTCAACAACCTTACTGGAACTAAATGTATTTTTATTATCCCCACTTTATGAATTAGGAACAGAGGGACTAAGTCACTTGCCCAAAGCCACAGAGCTAATTCGTATAGAAGCCAGGATTTGATCCCTGGCAGTCTGACTCAGAAATTATCCACACTTACCTTAACATGTGCTTTGCATTGATATCAAAGGCTATATTTTCAAAGATTTCATAAGTTTCATCTGCAATGTACCAGGCATGGGCTACCCAATAAACACCATAAGTATGAACAGATCTAAGCAGAGAAGAATTGATGCACATAAGAATTTTGTTGGCTGAGTGTGGTGGCTCATGCCTGTAATCCCAGGACTTTGGGAGGCCGAGGTGGGCAGATCACTTGAGCTCAAGAGTTCGAGACCAGCCTGGGCAACATGGTGAAACTAAACATGGTCTAGTAGAAATATAGTTTAGTAGAAATACAGTCTCTACTAAAAATACAAAAAAATTAGTTGGGTGTGGTGGCGCAGGCCTGTAGTCCCAGCTGCTGGGGAGGCTGAGACAAGAGAATCCTTGAACCTGGAAGGCGGAGGTTGCAGTGAGCCGAGATCGTGCCACTGCACTCCAGCCTGGGTGACAGAGTGAGACTCCACCTCAAAAAAAGAAGAAGAAAAAGAATTTTGTCTTTCTCTGTATATGTCTACTTTATGGAGCTACGCCATTCTGGGAAAACACAGTTGGCACCACGTGAAAAGGCGCCCCCATCACCACATTCACAAGGAATGAGATCAGGAGTTTAAAAGGCACCCTCACTGCCTCCCATCCACCTCCCCCACCCTCATCTGGCCCTGTCTTCCTACCACGTGTGTCCTCTCCTCCTTCCTTCAGTTTCACACAAGACCCAATTCTCTCCGCCCCCGGCATGGTTTGCCTCCTGGTTGTGTCTCCAGGTTTGCTCCTTGACTCAGCCCATTCCTGGACAACGACAGCTCCTTCCATGGCTTGACTTAGCTGCCTGGACCTCGCCTTCCAGGTCTTCTGAAGCAGTTCACCCCACCCCTAGTCCCTCCTTCCAGGAATGAACTTGTGTAATATTCTCTCTGATCCTTTTGCTGTTATGTATAAGGATTGGGTTTTCATCCCTATGAGTGAGATGCAGGCCCTCTAACATTATTACATGTTAGCACATTACCCATCTGACATGAGAAAAAGAATTCTCCCTTGCTTCAAAACGCTTTGGCAAATTCTCATCTACATCTATGTGGAAAACAAACACCAAGAGGAAGTAGAGATAATGAGTGTGGACAACCCATGTGAAAAGTTCAGGTGAGAGGGAGAAAATAGAGATTGGGCTGTCCTTGGAGGGGATATGGCATGTGGGGACAGATGTTGATCACTGTACCCTGTGCCCATTCTCCCTCCTGCTACAGTAAGAGAGCCTCTATGTTTAACTGGCATATTGAGCCATTCTTGTATTGCTATAAAGAAATACCTGAGACTGAGTAATTTATTAAAAATAAAAAGAGAGAGGTTTAATTGGTTCATTGGTTTATAAGGAAAAGATCTCATGTGAACTGAAGTGTGAGCTCACTTATCGCCAAAGAGATGATGCAAGTCACCCATGAGGGATCTGCCCCCACGATCCGAACAGTTCCTACCAGGCCCCACCTCCAACACTGGGGATTGCATTTCAACATGAGGTTTGGGCATGGACAATATCCAAACAATATTAACTGAGGACCATAATAACGGCTCTGACTCCCAGCCTTCCTTGCAGCTAAGCATGGCTGTGGCTAAATTCTGGCCTGTTGGGAGGTGAGTGAAAGTCATACCCCACATGGAAGGGCTCTCCAGCTCCCCGTCCCTCTTTCCTGATGCTGCTTGCAACAGTGCACATTATTGTGAACTGTGCGGGGAAGGCCACAACTAGGAATGGTGGGGTGAGGACCCTTAAGAAGCTGAGGTTCCTGCCACTAAGGTGCTGCTCTGCCAGCTTATGTGAGAGATAAGTAACTTTCATCTTGTTTAAGTTTTTTAAGTGGATTTGATTATTTGGGGTCTTTATAGCAGTCAGAACTGCTTCCTAATTAATCGTGGTGGAAAAAAAAAGATCTTCATTTTCTTTAGTGAATTTTGAACATGGTCCGAAGTCAATTGGAGGAATCCAGGAAAAAGTAGGTTGAAAATACGGAGTGGTCTGGAGTGATGGTTAGTGCATGTCCTGAGAAAGCAAGCGGGGAGAGGTGAAAGGGTGTGGGGGGTGGGGCTGGCCTTGAGGGACTGCTCCACCTGGACAAGGGGAAGGGCAAAGTGGGAAGCTGGATTCAGGAGACTTGAGATTCGGCAGTGGGAAGTTGAGCAGTTCCTGCCTCGTGCTTCTGATTTTCCAGCAAAGCAGGAGGCAAGGACCTCTATGGAGAAATCAGTCTGGAGCAGGAAGGTAAACCTTGGCAGAGCTTATGTAGAGGCTCACAGGTGGGAGCATGGGCTGGGCAGCCCTTCCATGACTGTCTGCGTTTATGTCATCTAAGAGCACGAGAGCTAAAAACCAGACACTGTGACGACTTAACTCTATGTCAAGTACTATACAAGGCTATCACTGAATTGGATTTGAGAGTAAACATTTGTTCTATGATTTTGATCATTAAAAATAAGAATACAACTGGGTGCGGCGGCGCATGCCTGCAGTCGCAGCTACTGGAGAGGCTGAGATGGGAACAGTGCCGGAGCCCAGAAGCTCTGGGCTGTAGTGCACTGTGACCATTAGGTGTCTACACTAAGTGAAGCAGGGGCCACCAGGCTGCCTAAGGAGGAGTAAAACAGTCCAGGTTGGAAACTGAGCAGGTCAAAGCTCCTGTGCTGATGACTAATGGGATTGCACCTGTGAACAGCTACTGTACTCCAGCCTGGGCAACATTGCAAGACCCTGTCTCTAAAAATAAAGGTTAAAAAATAAACAAAAAAAAATATAAAACAGATTGAAGGCCTTATTCAATACATCCAATTTTTCAAAGTTTCTAGCTAAAATGTATCATCATCTGCAGTTTTCAAATTATAACAGATCTTTTTTGTTTTTTTTTAAAAAAGCTAGGACAATTAGTACCCAAAGAAAACACTTAAGAGTAGTATTGGGGCTCAAAAACCGGTACCCCAAAATATGTCCATTTGTACAAGCTGAACTGAGAAAGGAGCCTCAAGATCTCTCTGACCTCCCCGTCCCGACCCATCTCTCCCAAAGCATAGGAGAAAGCTATTCTCTGAAGCTCCGTTATCTGCCTAAAGTCTGCACCAACCAAAGAAGAAAGCAATTGCCTTTAGCTCCTTCCCTGAGTTTTCATTAACTGAATCAATATTATAGGAAAAAAGACTAGTGTCTGCCCACAAAGCTAGATGGACTTTTGTCACAAATCATTGTCCATTGTGTAGGCCCAGCAAGCTCTGCCCCAGGCCATTGTATGTTCTTCAAGTCCGTTGAATTCCCATAAACATTATTTGCTACCCTCTAAAATCATCCACACTTCCCCATCTCCCTGGCCCCTGAGAAAAAGGGTATATTCCTTTGAAGCAAGTTGGAGAAAAAAAGGAGTAGAATACGTAAGCCTCTGCACCCCACTGGAGGGTTGGGTCTTCACCCTAAAGGCTCCCATGTTCATGTAAACGCTAATAAAATAAATTTGTATGTTCTTTCTCCACTTAATCTGCCTTCTGTGAGTCGAATTTTCAGCAAACCTTCAGAGGGCAACAGTGGAGTTTTTTCCTTTGCCTCAACAGTGGCCATTTTCATTGTGAATCTAACATGGTCAGACACCACGCTGAGCTTTTTACATGACTTAGCTCTCCATCCTATAAAATGGGTGTTTTTATCCTTATTTATAGACTAGGAAGCTGAAGCCCAGAAACATTAAATAACTTGCCCCAAATCACACAGCTATTAAAGGATCAAAATTTGAGCCAAGGAAGATCTGATTTCAAAATCTGTGCTCTTTTTTTTTTTTTTTTCCCCCAGACAGAGTCTTGCCTTATCGCCCAGGCTGGAGTACAATGGCGTGATCTTGGCTCACTGTACCCTCCGCCTCTGAGTTCAAGCAATTCTCCTTCCTCAGCCCCTGAGTAGCTGGGACTACAGGCGCACACCACATGCCCAGCTAATTTTTTTATTTTTAGTAGAGACATGTTGGCCAGGCTGGTCTTGAACTCCGGACCTCATGATCCGCCCCCCTCGGCCTCCCAAAGTGCTAGGATTACAGGCATGCACCACCTTGCTCAGTGAAAATCTGTGCTCCTAACCACTGCCCACTGCCTTCTCTTAATGCAGGGGCTATTCCAGCACCTGACAGGCCAATCTCAAAGTTTTGCTGCTCTTCTAGAAAATTATGGGATCTCTATGGAAACAGAATTTCTGGTGGCCTACCTGATATCTCAGGGAGGCCAGTTGGGAAATCAGGTTAGACACGCCCTCATCCCCTCCTCATCCCAATTTGTGCTACAATAAGTGCTGGCCTACAGCCCTGCACTTTCTTCACGCCGCCTGGCATGGGCACTACTATGGGCAAACACCTGCCCGCACCAGTGCGGGCCAGCACCTAAAGTGTAGGGCAGCTGTGTGGCAGCCTGCACAGAAACAGTCTGCAATAGTAACACCTTGTGGCAGCCTCTGAAACAATCATCAGGGGAGCTGCTGGACTTCCCCATTCTCTCCATCAGGCCTGCAGATGAAGTACTGACTTCCTGGAACCCAGTGCTTAGGATTCTTAGAAAGTTTAAAGGGACATTTAGATGATCTGATTTCCTGCTAACAAAAGTAGATGGGAGTTAGGGATAAAAATGAGAAACATGGCCTTATTGGTACATCATATTTGTATAGATTGCCACCCCTGGGACTGTCCCCAGAACAGGGCCCAGAACATGGAGAGGTGTGTCAGGTAGCCAACTGTCCTGGGCTACCTGCAGTGTTGTCCCCCAGAAGCTCTCCAGCTCCATTTACAGTGTCTGAGCAGGGGCTCAAAGGACAGCCCCACCATGGGGGATCAGCCCTAGAAGCTGTCACTCCCTCTCTAGCGGGCGCAACTGGTTTCCAGGTAATAAAGCTGCAGTGAATGCAACTTGTCAGCTAGTTGCTCTCAAACTCTGACTTGGTTTGGTAAGTCTGTGTCTTGTCATACCACTGGCTGAAAAGTCCACTTCCCTGTCATCAGATTGCAGAGGACACAGGGGCTCTTCTGAAACAGGAAGCAAGCTCTTTTCCGAGTGTTAATTTTATTTGCTGTATGTACATTTTAGCAGATTAAGCACTTAGGGTTGTGATTTTAAAAATATTTCTTCTTTGGGCCAAGGAGTGTTTTAATAAAGCTAAGTTCTTTGTATAAAGCTACTCCAAATCCCTGACTAATTAATTCCTAAAGAAACAGCACGTGGCTCACAATTACTGGCGGCCTCTCTTCATAAACAGAAACACCAGGGGAGAGAGCCGGCAGCAGCACAGCAGCCCGGACCGTGACTGAACCAACCTACAGATGTGGCTTTTTGTGATGTTTTACATGAAACTCCGGATTTTAAACTCTTTTTGGAGAAGCAGGCAGTCTGACAATAGTCGTTTTGGATTCTCATAAGGTCATAAAGAATGGCTGCCACCTTCTGAGGGCCATGGTGGGTGCCCTGTTCTGCCAGAATTGCCAACATGCCTATTGTCTTAGACTTGCCCAAGGTGTCACAGTCAGACACAGCCTCCCTTATTCATGCTCCTGCCTGGTGCCCATGGGACTTGAATTTTCTCCCCTTGGAGTGGTGCGAGGCTCTACAGACACTTTTCGTCCACCTCCCCTGCAGACAGCAAGCTCCTGGAACACATGTCACATGCGTTTCACTTCCTGCTCTATTGCTACCACCCAATGTGGGCTCTCAATACATGTTGAAGGCAAGGATCAATGAATAAATGGGCAACTATCAGCTGTAGCCAGGTATGTGCCAGGTATGGTGCTAGGCACCAAAAGGGCCACAAAGTTGTTATAAGGCACACAGTATCAGGGAGCTCATGACATAGTGAGAGAGAGAAAAAGCTTATGCAGTGTGTGTGTGGAGCTTTAAGCAAACATGCTGCATAACAGTAAAAAGAATGACTTTGCCTGCCCCTGATGAAACTTCAGCAGGGCTGTGCCCTCTCTTGCCACCTTCAGGAAACAGCAGTCTTACAGTCCTTTGCCCCTCTGAGTTACAACCACTGTCTCCTATCAGGAGAATGTCCAGTGCTACATCATCATCAACACTTTGAACTTGATGTGGCATTGCATGTTATCCCATCTCCCCAGCCACCCGAGAAGGGAGATGCGGTAGGTTTTCTCTCTCACTCTCTCTCCCAGCCCCTCCTTTTCCCACCAACAGGCTAATGAGATTCCTGCCCGTAGGAGAAAGGATAAAATCACAAGGTGGCGCCATTGTCTCCAGATGTCAAGGTCTTCTGGATGGCAGGTGCGTAAAGGTGACTCTTGTGATCACGGGTGCTTTGGGTGTTCCTCAGAGATCCCATAGACTGGGGGCTTGTCCACAGTTCCCAGGACTCTGCCATGTGGAGCCAGGAGAATGTGAAGTTCACCTCGCACTTCCTCCCGGCTGAGGTTGCCGCATAGCCCCTACCAGCCTGGCCATATTGGGTGGCATTTCAGATGTCCCCGCAATGGCTGCCTTGGAGACTTTCCACTGGTCCTCAAGAAGCAACAGCGCTCCCCTCGCTCTGCCTTCGGTGGAGGGCAGTTCCTTCTCTCTCTGCCTGGCCCCAGGCTGCTTCGGCTCTCTCAGGCCCTGGTCCCTGGAGTCCCCCAGCTACAGAGAACCTTGATTTCTCCTTTTCTCTTGTAGGCTCACAGCATAGCCCTGTCCCAAGACATCATCCCAAATTACCTCAACCATTCTATCGTCTCCAAGCTGATCGGGGGAGGGAGGACCAAGAATCTTGAAACCTAAACGCTACATTTGATGATCTCCCTCAAACTTATTTTGGAATCTGATATCTCTTTAACAAAAATTATAAAAATGGAGGCAAAGAGAGCCCTATTTTTACATCTTGTTCTAATAAATAACAGGTACCCTTAAAAGAATGCAGACAAACTCTTCTATGGAAATTTAAAGGAGCATAAGCCTTCTTCCAGTATAGGGAGAGAACCAAGGAAGACTTCCTGAAGGAAGTGGCCTTTGAGTGGGCCTTGGATCATGTGGAGATCAGGGGTGAGAGTATTCCGGGCGAAGAGTCCAGCGTAGGGAAGGCTCATAGGCAGGAACTGTGCCATATTAATGCTGTCTTAGAGATATATCCATTGCCGGAAACAGATACTCAAATTACTTCGAATAGAGAATTGAAAAGGTTTCTATGAACACCTCCAGAACTGTGGTTCTCAAAGTGCAATCCCTGGGCCAGCAGCATCACCTGGGAACTTGTTAGAAATGCAGATTCTCAGATTCCACCCCAGAGCCTTTGAATCAGAAAGGAACCCCAGGAACTGGTGGTAGCAGCCCTCTTGCAGGCCCTCCAGGTGATTCTCATCCAGGGAAGCTTGGGAACCCCTGGGATGGAATATTCTCAGGAACCCCTGCTTTGTGAAGAACTGATGACATAGGCTGTTTCTAGGGAGGAAATGGGGCTGCTGGGTGCACAGGTGAGGGAGGTAGGAGGCCTTGTAATTGTGTACCATGTGTGTATATTACCTATTAAGAAAATGAAAAACTAATGTGTTTAATCCCCTGTCTTTCCCCATCTACTTCTCTCCTACCCTATAGCTGCTCCTCCACCTCCCTCCTCAGAAGGTGTTCGGTTCCTGGGTAAGCTGGTTTTCTGTTCTCCCTTCCCCACTCTTCTCTTGCCTGGTCTTTATTACAAGGTGCGCCAAGCCTCATAAGGACAGTTGAAAAGAACAGAAGAGAGACTGCGCTAATGGCTGTAGAATTCTGCCAGGAGAGCTGGAGGTGGGCAGGAAGTCTATCAATTCAACCATGCTAATAATTTCAGTTGGTAATTAAGAGTAAGCCCATCTCTACCCCCTTTTCAGTTATCAAATATGCATTGTTTTCCTCTTGTGTTGGCCTTTTGTGTCTGTTTCACTCTCACCTTGACTCGGCCCCCGTGAGCTAACTCCAGCCATAGAGAAACCATGGAGAGGTTTGTCCAGTGTCTGGAAGATGGATTGACTGCTGAAATAGGAGCAAAAAGAACCTCCTAGCAGGTCAGCCGTACCCAAAGACAGCCACGTGGAAATGGACAGTGGTGCAAGGACAAGTGTCCAGCAGAGCAGGCAGCAAACGCCCCAGGTGCCATAACTCCTTAAAGGCCCAAGTATCTCTGCTGACCCAGTGAGTGCCCCTCAGCTTGTGGTGTGAGACTGAGCTTATAGATCCCACCTCAACTCGAGAAACTCAATGCAGTGATGAGCTGATTTATAGAGTTTGCCAGTTCCTGTGGTGTAAATACTCATAGCATGGCCAGTTTCTGGCTACCAACATGAAGTCACTGAACCCAAAGTTGGGAAGAGATTTACCTAACAGGGGACATAGTTAATGGACTTCATAGAGAAAGCTACTAAACCATATGTGCCCCTGGGGTCCAGAAATCCACTTCTGGTTGGAACTGACCTATATGGTGCCAAGTGTGCATCTTCTAGGGGGACACTAACATTTGTGTGTCCTCCTCTGGTCTTGCAGCAAGCCTCTTCCCTAAGGGCCTTTGACTAACATTTGCTACATTTTGTATTCATTGAGAGTCTGGGTGTGGTCGCTTATGTCTGTAATCCCAGCACTTTGGGAGGCGGAGGCAGGCAGATCACTTGAGGTCAGGAGTTCGAGACTAGCCTGACCAACATGACAAAACCTTTTCTCCACTAAAAATACAAAAATTAGCCCTGCATGGTGGTGCACACCTGTAGTCCCAGCTACTTGGGAGGCTGAGGCAGGAGAATCACTTGAACCTGGGAGGCAGAGGTTGCAGTGAGCTGAGACTGTGCTGCTATACTCCAGCCTGGGTGACAGAGTGAGACTCCATCTCAAAAAAACCACAAATTTTGTATTGATTGAGCCAGGTAATTTATTGATTTTTCTTTTCATTCAAATTTTATTTTTCTTGAGACAAATTTTATTTTTCTTCATTCAAATTTTGTTTTTCTCACTCTGTCACCTAGGCTGGAGTACAGTGGTGTGATCTTGGCTCACTGCAAACTCTGCCTCCTGGGCTCAAGCGATCCTTCCACCTCAGCATCCTTAGTAGCTGAGAACACAGGCACACACCACCACGCCCAGCTAATTTTTGTATTTTTTTGTAAAGACAGGGTCTCACTATGTTGCCCAGGCTGATCTTGAATTCCTGGCTCAAGTGATCCACCTGCCTTGGTCTCCCAAAGTGCTGGGATTACAAGCATGAGCCCCTGTGCCTGGCCTTAATTTTTTTGAGTGCTGTGAAAGAAATAAGCCATTATTATGAGTTTTCCTCCTTTAGAATTAATGAGTCCGTGAAGGGTCAGAAGAAAGGTCCCTTGTAGAAAGTCGGGCAATATTTACACGTCATAATATTACAAATGGGCACGTTATTATGAATAATCTTCTTAACCAGCAACGTTTATAACAGGACTACTCTCTGCCAGGCCCTGTGTTAAGTGCTCCATGAATACTACCCACTCCTGCCCCCCAGGCCTCTCAATAGCCCTCCAATGTAAGAAGTAGGTACCTTTACTTCATCACTGATGGCCACACACATCATTATTTTATATGCTGCTAAAAAAGGGAAATAAAGCCAATTCATTGACACAAAGTATTTCTTAGCCCTTAGAATTTTTATTTTACCATTGCTGAAAGAGCTCATTTAGATTTCCTTCAACAGAGATGGTTACTGCATATCACTCTTGTGCATAGATAATACGGAAAATACAAGTGAAATGGATAGGTAAAGCTGTTCCCCAAACTTCCTCTGATCTAGGGCCCACTCTTGTGATCAGCCTGGCCTAGTCCATGAGATCCGAGTTTTACCCACAGTGCTGTCATCTGTGGCAAGAGTGTTGGTACGTCAGCATTGCCTCAAAGAGGTTTCACTCTTGTCTCTAGGTTCTCTCTCCCGCAGCTGACATCCGGTCTGCAAGTTCTGATGTGTATGCCCAGGTGAGAATGACTACATTCACAACTCCTGCCAGCCCCACAGCACCTTAAGACACATCTCCATGTCAGAGATGTTAAGATGTGAAAAGGGTATATTTTAGAGTCCTTGAAATACATTAGCACTCACTTAAATTATTCCCATTTTATATATAAGGCATAGGAAACTTTAAGGCCGGGCACTGTGCCTCACGCCTGTAATACCAGGACTTTGGGAGGCCAAGGCGGGTGGATCACGAGGTCGAGAGATCAAGACTATCTTGGCCAACATAGTGAAACCCTGTCTGTACTAAAAATACAAAAATTAGCTGAGAGTGATGGCGTGCACCTGTAATCCCAGCTACTTAGGAGGCTGAGGCAGGAAAATCACTTGAACCTGGGAGGCGGAGGTTGCACGCCACTGCACTCCAGCCTGGGCAACAGAACGAGACTCTGTCTCAAAAAAGAAAAAGAAAGAAAAAGGACATTAGCAATGGCGGGTAGGGTTATAGAGAGATCGGAGCCCTCATGCATTGCTTTTGGAACCAGGAAATGGTGCAACTGTGTGGAAGGCAGCTTGGCTGCCCCTCAAATGGTTAAACAGGGAGTTATCGTATGCCCAGCAATTCTACCCCTAGGTACCTGAGAGAATCAAAAACCTATGTTCACACAATTTCTTGTATGTGAATGTTTCTGGTAATATAATATAATGCAATATAATAGAATATAGCTAAAATGTGGAAACAGCCCAAATGTTCATCAACAGAATGAATAAGCCAAATGTGGTGTTTCCAGGCAGCAGTCTATCATTTAGTTATTGTAGAGGCTAAAGCAACGAATTCCATCTTGGATGCTAATCTGCCATTTCAACTTCTGATAAACCTGTTTGGGGAATGCCTCTAAGATTTCTGCTTTATCTACTATGTACTGTAAATCCTCCCCTTAGGCAAATTCCTTCTAAGGCATGGATATCTTTTCCCTATGGTATATAAGCCCTGGGCCTGGGGGGTCATGGTGTGAGCATTCACTGTCTCCTACCGCCAGGGACATGGCTTCCATTCCTAAATCCCTATTAAATGTTTATTTCCGAGAAACTGGATTGTCAGTCTCTTTCTGGCCTCTCAACTCCCTTGGCCTTTGGAGGCAGGTTTGCACAGACTGAATCATTGCAGAACAGCCATAAAAAGGAATGAAGTACTGATGCGTGCTACACCATGGATGAATCTTGAAAACATTCTAAGTGAAAGACGCCAGACGAAAAAGACCATGTATCATATGGTTCCATGTATAGGAGATATCCCGAATTGGCAATTCTATAGAGTTAGAAAGTAGACTAGTGGTTGCCAGGCACTGGGTGGGTGGGAATGAGGACTGAATACTTGTTATGATCTGAATGTATGTGTCCCTCCAAAATTCATTTGTTGAAACTGAATACCGACAAGTGATTAAGAAGTAGGACCTTTGGGAAAGTGATTATGAACACTCTACCCCAATGAGGGAGACTAGTACCCTTATAAAAGAGGCCAAGGCCAGGTGTGGTGACTCACACCTGTAATCCCAGCATTTTGGGAGGCTGAGGCAGGCAGATTGCTTGAGACCAGGAGTTGGAGGCCAGTCTGGAATATATGGTGAAACCCTGTCTCTACAAAAATTACAAAAGGTTAGCTGATGGCCAGGCGCAATGGCTCACACCCATAATCCCAGCCCTTTGTGAGGCCAAGGCAGGTGGCTCAATTGAGGTCAGGAGTTCAAGATCAGCCTGGCCAACATGGTGAAACCCTGTCTCCACTAAAAATATAAAAATTTTAGCCAGGCATGGTAGCACAGGCCTGTAATGCCAGCTATTTGGGTGGCTGAGGCAGGAGAATGGCTTGAACCTGTGAGGCAGAGGCTGCAGGGAGCCGAGACCATGCCATTGTACTCCAGCCTGGGCAACAGAGGGAGACCCTGTCTCAAGATAAAAAATAAAAAAATAAAAGTTAGCTGAGAGTGGTGGCATGCCTGTAGTCCCAGCTACTCAGGAGACTGAGGTTGCAGGGTCACTTGAGCTCAAGAGGCAGAGGCTGCAGTGAGTTGTGGTTGTGTTGCTGCACTCCAACCTGGGCAACAGAGTGAGACCCTGTCTCAAAACAACAACAATAAAAAAGAGATCAAAGGGAGTGTCTTAGCCCTTTTTTCCTGTTAGCTTTTATGCCATGTGAAGACACACAAGAGGCACCATCTTGGAAGCAAAGACCGATCCCTCACCAGACACCAAATCTGCTGGCCTTGATCTTAGAGCTCTCAGCCTCCAGAACTATGAAAAATAAATATCTGGGTCGGGCACGGTGGCTCACGCCTGTAATCCCAGCACTTTGGGAGGCCAAGGTGGGCGGACCACCTGAGCTCAGGAGTTTGAGACCAGTCTGACCAACATGGAGACACCCCGTCTCTACGAAAAATACAAGATTAGCTGGGCGTGCCTGGTGGCACATGCCTATAATCCCGGCTACTTGGGAGGCCGAGGCAGGAGAATCACTTGAACCCAGGAGTGGAGGTTGCAGTTAGCCAAGATTGCACCATGCACTCCAGCCTGGGCAACAAAAGTGAAACTCTGTCTAAAAAAAAAAAAAAAAAGAAAGAAAGAAAAAAAAAAAAGAAAAAGAAATCTCTATTATTTCTGAATTACCCAATGTTGGGCATTTTGTTATAGCAGCAGAAATGGACTAAGACACTGCCAATAGGTACAAAGTTTCTTTTCGGGGTCACAAAAATATTCTGGAATTAGAGAGTGATAATGGTTGTATAATTTGTGAATATACTAAAAACCACTCAGTTATACACTTTAATTAATTAATTAAAGACACTGTCTCACTCTGTTGCCAAGACTGGAGTGCAGTGGCATTATCACAGCTCACTGCAGCCTCAACCTCCCACGACCACAGATATGCACCACCATGCCTGGCTAATTATTTTTATTCTTATTTTTGAAGAGACATGGGTCTCATCATGTTGCCTAAGCTTGTCTGGAACTCCTGGGCGCAAGCAAATCCTTCTGCCTCAGCCTCCCAAAGTGCTGCGATTACAGGCATGAACTACTGTGCCTGGCCCCGTTATACACTTTAAAGTGCTAATTTTTTCCATAGATTATCTGGAAAAAAAAAACCAGAAAATATAAAAAAGAAAAAAAAAGTGCTAATTTTATGTTATAATAATTATATCTCAATTTTTAAAAAATCATAAAAGAACAACTGATTTACTTCTCCATCCACACTCCTGGTCACCTGTCAAATGGAAAGCATTGATGTGGACTGGCCCTGGTGGCGAGGGAAGTACAAAGGCTGAGCTTTAAAAATTCTCATTCTATGTGGTCTACGAGGACCTCATGACAGCAGCGTTTGTTTCCCTTTCCTTACCTCCTGTCACTTGCCGTATTTTCATAATGCTCTAAGCCACAGGACCTAGAACTGGCCTTTAATGACAGAGTGCTTAAATAGGGCTTGCTGACAAACACCACAGAATTACAGGAGCCGCTCATGAGACACAGCATCGTTTTATCTGTTCTCCAGTGGCAGCTTTTAAAATGCAATTAGAACCACGTAAGATATTTATTTAGGATTTTATCTCATTTATTTATTCCATCTCTAAATGAATGTTGTACTTCCAGCTGCCTTTTTACTCCTTCACATGAGTGTTTTCTTATTTTCAATCCACTCTTTTCTTCCCTGTTAGACTCCAGGGAGCCAGAATGTCAGCAGCCTGGGAGCTGAAGAAGGGAAGCAAACACCTTAAAGAC